CCCCAAAACCCCAAAACCCCAAAACCCCAAAACCCCTTTTAAGATCAGCTAAATTGAAAATATAAGGAATGAGAAAATCACTATTGGGGCTCAGAGTTAAGCTCAACTTCAATCTTTTTTCTGAGGATATCCTTCTTCAGTTCTTCATCTGCAATCTTATGGTAGGAATGATTCTGCTTTACAAAGAATCCATCCATTTTCTTATTCCATTTATTTTTCTTGGATTTTGATATCTCCTTCAGCTTTCTATAAAGAGCCACTGCTTCCTTGTTTTTGGGCTCAATCTTTATAAGAGTAATCATTGCTTTCTATAGTAGAGTCAGAGAAATTGAGTTTACCAAGCCTTCATCGTAGCATTCAAGTTCTTTGCAAGCAATCGAAAATCTATATAGAGCTTTGATATTTTCAGTGTCATAAAACTGGATAATTTCTGAATTAATAGATTTCATTTTCTCCCATTCTTCTTTCTTCCAATGGCAAAATCCAAGATTGAGCAAGATTTGGACTCTAAGATCGTTCATGTAGTTGATCTTCATCTCGAGCTCTTCTTCCTTATCCTTGCCTCTTTCAACCACCTTAGCTCTCGCTTCTTTAACTAGGGATCCTGAAATCATCTTAATAGAGCCAACTCCTTTCCTATATATCTTCATTGCTTCATTTAGGGACTTTTCAGTGAGTGCAGTCTTGGCATGATTTTTACATTTGAGAGCAAATGCGATCCTATTGTCAATGAACCCTTCAGCATCTTCTTTGATCTTCTTAAGCTCGGAAGAACTGATATCCTTGCAGTCTCTAAGAATAGACTTGACTGTCAGCTTCATGAAAATATAAGTCCTGTCTTCTATGGCTTCTCTCTCTTTTTCCTTCAGAAATTTTTGAGAATGCTCATCTTTTAGGTAGAAATTGTCATCTGGACTTCCGAACTGAATTTTGAAAATAGAGATTTCATCCTTTTTCATGGAACGCAAGCAATCTTGAAGAAAATTGAAGCTGCTTGAGTCTTCAAGAGTCACTGCTTTAGACTCTTTTCTCTTTTGAAAATCATAGAGATATCCATTAGAATACCTGATCTCCATGCAATGCACGATCCTGTCATTTAAGTCAGGGGCTTCTCCAGAGCCTTCAGTCTGAATGAATTTTGTAATTTGGGTGATTGAAGCTACATCAGAGCCTAGTTTAGATACTCTTTCAAGCCTAATGGGATCATTTAGAAGTGGATCCATATCAATTATCATATCTGGAGGTAAAGTCTTTTCTTTAGCTAAAATCAGTAAAATTATAGTGCCCTTACATTTCTTTGGATTATACTTCCATTCTGTTTCGTCATCTTTGTTGGTAATGATATACTTGGCTTCTTCTATTTAAGCGATTAGTCTGACTACTCAAGCAGTAAGGAGAGAATTTTACCTTGATCTTTCATTTCTTCATCAATCTTAGGTGTGTCTTGGGGAGAACTTTCATTCTTCATTTCCTCATCATGATTCATATCGAGATCTAAACCACAATCCATCAGCATATAAATTTTTTAGTAATTCGCGGACTTACCTTGTTGACTCATTTCCTTGCAAAAAGTAAAAATTAATTAACTTCTTGTAATTTTATGGGGTTTTGGGGTTTTGGGGTTTTGGGGTTTTGGGGTTTTGGGG